AGTGGGATCAGCCATATGGTCCACACTGTGCATTGGCTTTTCGGAGCGGGGATACTGTCCTCCAGGCCTGGCGGGCCAGGATGTGCTCCACTCTCTCTTCCTCCCCATTCATTTGCTCCCATGTGCTCTGATCAGACATGTCCCGCTCCCCTAGCTGCAGCTTCAGTGAAAAGGCCTTCGTAAATGAGATCTTTGACTCTCTGAATTGTTTTACCTAAGTCTTAGCTGGTGTATGAAGACATTGTTTAATGTTGTTATTTTTCTTGAAGTAAACGACATTTTGTCTTTTTAAAAGAGCCATAGCCACTCTGTCCTTGGTTGTGATGCTGAGAATTGTAGGCCAGGTTCTAGTATCACCCAGCGATAAACAGTGCAGTTCAACTTCTAAAACATGTGCGCTACCCTTTGGGTTTTATCCTTGATTTACTATTTTCATTATTTTGTAAAAATCACTTTTCATATATTCATGAGGCTATATTTCTCTTATTAAACATGTTTACTGATACTTTTTTCTCATAGATTAATTTGTCCTCTATGTAGAGAATATGGAAGATAGAGAAAAGTATAAAAATATTAAAATCACTGGCTAAAAGTAACCCATAAAACATAACAGTGGTTAGTTTTCTACTTACATTTTATATTTATCTTATAACATACATTTAGCTTACCTTACTCTGAGAACGACAATTTGGATTCTACGTTGGAATATTTGTGGACAATATTAAGGCATATAACCATTTCCCATTTTATGAAGTGTTCCTAGGAATCATTCTAGATGGTATTAGTTTCTTCCTCTTGCGTTTATTCCACATTTATTTTTTAAAGAAATATCTAAAATTTACTAATTTTTAAAACTTAAATTTTATTGACATATAATTCACATTATAGTTTAAACATAGTAAAAGAGTTGTGCAGTCATCACCACAATCAGTTTTAGAACATTGTCTTCATTCTTGTACTCATCATTATTAATTCTCCACTTCCCACCAACCTCTCCTGCCTTAACCCTAAGAAATTGCTAATCCAGTTACCGTCTCAGTAGATTTACCTATCCTGATTTCATATAAAGGAAAACATACACAAAACAAAAAAATACCCAAAAAACCCAACAACAATAATAACAAAATGGAACAGAGTAAGAGTGTCGGACCTTTCTTTTATACATTTTAATGACTTGCCAGTTTTGCGGCTGGCTAGCTTGGATTGCCATCCTTGTACACAGCTCTATGTACTCCAGGATAGATCAGCGCAAGTGGCATCCTGAAGTGGGAGTCATTATGTGTGCAAGACATATCGTCCAGTTACTTTTCATAAGGTGGCATCGTTTATGCGTCCTTATCTCCGCAGTGGAACACTGATGGAACTGTGCGGCAGGCACTGGGCTGGCTGCTAACTGCAAGATCAGGGCTCACACTCCCCAGCCACTCTTCAGAGAAAGATGAGCTGGTCTGCTTCTATAAAGATTTAATCTCAGGAGCCCTTCATGGGGCTCGCTGAAAATCAGCTCAGTGGCAGTGGATTTGAGGGCTTGGAGGTTTGTTGTTTTTGTATCCCTCTGAGCATTGCCTTTGAGCATAGTTTCTTTGGCTACTTCCCACACCTCAGGGATGAGCTAGGTATGAGAGGATTCACAAAAGCCACCTGGCAGGAAGGAGGATGGCACAGCTAAGGCAGGCAGTCAGTAAAACCAGGAAGGCAGTCCATTGTCACCTGTCGCAGGTAAAATTCAGAGAGGCATTTGTGAAAGGAAGGGTACCAGGCACCTGGGAGCACCCTGGAACTACTGCCCACTCTTTAAGAGATGCTTGTGTGGAATGTTTTCAGAGAGACAGGTTTCTTTGACAGTTTGGCAAATGTCAGGTACCTAAAATTAAAATTCGCAAGTAAAAGAGTACTTGTGAATCCCAGGAAGTCGCTTTTCATTTGAATAAGGCTCTGCCTAATAGAGTCCTTCAGCTGTAATTCATTTGTCCATTTTAACCACGAGGTGCTTATTGAGGGCCTTCTCTGTACTTAACCCAGTCCTGGATGCTGGGAACACAAAAGCAGGCAACCTTTCCCTCCAGGACTTTGTAAGCTGGTTGGGGAAGAATAGGAGATAGACACGTGAAAACTAGAGGTAAGAATGCAGGGCAGTCCATCATTATGTGCCCTAATGAGGGCTCAGCACAGTTGATTAGTAGTTTGGAGTAATGAAGATTTTCTCATAAAAATGGGTGAAGACTAAGATGATTGGAAATGAGAGATTCCCTTCAGATAGGGCTTGCTTTGAAAAACTTCACCTCCGGGGCAGAGGGGAGCAGTTTTTATTGGCGCCTGCAAACTTTTTTTTAGCATTGCAAGGCTCCAGGTTTCTGCAGGCGGCCCTATTTTACTGATGCATATCTTCAGCTATACCTGGGCTTTCCTTCTGTGATGCTGAGTAGTTTAATTACTCCCCAAAGAAAGGAGACTGGGGTTATTCGTTAACTCTTTGCTAACATTTTTACTGAGCCAGTTACATTTAAATCAGAACATGACTCAATCAATATGGTCACTGTATTAATCTGGTTTTTTTCTCTTTCTTCTTTATGTGAAATGTCAGATTCTCGGAACCAACTATTCACACAAAGTGGACATCTTCTCCTTAGGTTTGATTCTATTTGAGCTGCTGTACCCATTTGGCACTCAGATGGAAAGGGTCCAAGTAAGTATCCTCACACACCCCACCCTGGGGGCGGGGTGGGGGTGGGTGGGAGGGGATTGAAAAGAAAAGGAGCCTAAAATTTACATAAGAACAATGTGTGGAATAAGATTGAGTTCTTCTTAATGCCTGCAGATGAATTAATAAGAAGTGAAGATATTTGAAGACCTTTCACTTCTGTTGTAAGCTTTGGTCCTCAGAAATTGTTGACGAGGACTGTTTGCTGCTGTTGCTTCAGTCTACCAGTTAAACGGTGTCTTGTGCTCAATATGTTTGTGATAAATGCAAAACTAAGGCAAACATGCAGTAACGTGGGGTGAGTAATCAGAGATGGTGGTGGTGGTGCTTGGTCAGAGAAGAACATTCCAGAGTCACCAGGCATTCAGTTAAAGTTGCTACATTAAGCATTATTAGCTTCCTTTTCCCCTTCAAATTAAGCTATAACCAGATCTTTTAAAGCAGTGAGTACCAAAAGTCTTAAAGTTTCCTTTGTAACCTTCTTCCCCAATCCTCCTTTAAATGTCAGCTCTCCCGCTGTGGACCCTGCTACTTTGCTGCATATGTGCAAAGCGTACGCCCTTTTCACCATTTCCGAACGTTTCCACTTTAGACCTTGTCTACTGACTGCTGTCCGGGATAGAACAGGATGTAGTGCTCCCATAGAACTCACCTCTTCTATTCAACAGGGTCTAGCTACCAAGTGTTTAATACAGTAAATAGGAGTGGTGGTGGGAGGATGACCAAAAAGGCTAAAATTGAAAAGATCGTAAGTGCATCTAGAAAGGAAAATATAACAGGTCCAATGTATGTAAAGGATTGGGGATTAGAATGATATCAAAATCTGTGTAGTTATAAGTACATCAGAAGACGCTATCAAGACAATGAAAGGGCAGCCCAGAGGATGGAAGGAAAATGTGCACATCGTCTGTTTGATGAGACTCGACTGAAGAGCTCTGGTGTCTCAGCCACAGACAGATGACCCTATTTAACATGGCAGAGGACTCGAGGAGATGCTCCTCCAAAGCAAAGACAACAAGAAAAGATGCTCGGGGACACGGGAATCACAGGCGATGCCATTTCACACCCCCTCAGAGCCCCTCTTGGGGTTCAGTGCCCTGGAGCCCATTGGCCCATGATGACATCAGGAGGCTAAGCAGCGCTGTCCTGGAGGGCTTTCTAAGCTGGCATCCTCCCAGGAGCAGCTCCCCAGGTCTTTCTCCCAGGAAGCACCTGGGTGACTTGGAACCGCCAACCGTTAGGCTAGCAGCCGAGTGAGGGTAAACCACTGCTTTGCCACCCACACCCCTTAGAAGCTGGCTGTAATCAAAAGGTCATTGGTGATAGACGTTGGTGTGGATGTGAGAAATCAGAACTTGCATACAATGCTGGTGGCGCCAGTCTGGCAACTTCTTACATAAACTGTTCAATTGAGTTAACTTAGGACTCAGCAGTTCCACTCTGCAGTAGATGCTCAAGAGAGGGAAACGTGCGTCCGCACAAAATGTGGGCGTGTGTGTAGAGCAGCATTATTCATGAGAGCCAAAAATTGGAAACAACACATGTCCATCGGTGACTGTGTGATCTGTGGTGTATCCATACAATGGAGTGTTATTTAGCTCTCTAAAGGAAGGAGTACATACCACCACATACATGAACCTTGAAATGTGTACCAAGTAAAAGAAGCCAAAGGCAAAAGACCTTATATGATGTGACAGTGACAGTAGATTCATGGTTCCCCAGGAAGGGGAGTATGAAGCGTGGCTGATTAATAGACACAGAGTTCGTTTGGGCGATGATAATGTTCTGGAATCAGGTCATAGCAATGATTGCATAACACTGTGAATATACTAAATATGACTGAGTTGTACACTTTCAAAGTGGTAGGCTTTGTGCTAGTGAATTATATTTCCATCAATTTTTTAAAAATCATGTCTCTATATAAAAATAGTTGGTTATCCTCCCTGGGGGACAGACAACCAAAAAGTGGGTGAAGGGAGACGTCGGACAGGGCAAGATAATGACAAAATAATAATTTATAAATTATCAAGGGCTCATGAGGGAGGGGGGAGCTGGTAGGGAGGGGAAAAATGAGGACCTCATGCCGGGGGCTTAAGTGGAGAGGAAATGTTTGAGAATGATGAGGGCAATGAATGTACAAATGCGCTTTACACAATTGATGTATGTATGGATTGTGATAAGAGTTGTATGAGCCCCTAATAAAATGATTTTTTTTTTAAGTTGGTTAAATGAATAGGATTTATCTTGACCCTGCAGATATTGTTCTGTGTAAAATCATATATAACTGTTACCTGAGGGTCACATGTCAGGTAATATTTTCTGTATTCTCAAACATAGCCATTCTTTTCCTCCGCTGCAGTCAGTCCTTCTCAGCCCTTCCCTCCTCTGCTCCCATCTGACTGATCACCCTCCAGACCCAGCAATTCTCAACCTGTGGGTCACGACCCCTCTGGGGAGGGTCGAACGACCCTTTCACAGGGGTTGCCTGATTCATAAAGTAGCAAAATGACAGTAACGAAGTAGCAACAAAAATCACTTTATGGTTGGGGGGGGGGTGTCACCACAACATGAAGAACTATGAAAGGGTCGCAGCGTGAGGAAGGTTGGAGACCACTGCTCTGGACCTTCCGTTAACTGTCGTTGGTAGATAGACTCCTCTTGGTTGGCTCTCGGCTCCGTTGTCCTTTGTCCTGGCGTGCTTCTTCTCTTAATTTGCGGGATGTTTTGATAGAGTAGGTTACTCAGAAAGTCTATGTGGAAGATACATTTTTAAAACCTTTGGGTATATGGAGATGTATTTAATTATATCCTCACAATGAATTGGTTGAGTATAGAATTCTGGACTGGAAATAATTGTTAATTTGATGGCCAACTTCATGTCCTTACAACTTTAGTGTTGCTGCTGAACAGCAGTGCTACCCCTGCAGGACCTGATTCTGTGGGACCTGTGAGGTCTGCTTTGTTTTCCTTCCTGGAAACTGTTAGGGCTTTGCTTTCATCGGGAATTCTGAAACTTTGCCTTTTCCTTGATAGGACTCCCTCGCCACCCCTTCCTTGTACCTAACCCTAGTCAGTCCCTTTGGTTAGAAATGTAAAGACTTTGGTTCTAGCAGATTTCCTTATATTATTTCATTGATAAGCTCTTTCATTTCTCTTTTCCCCGGCACTCCCAACAGCCCTATAAATGCCATTCTCCTCCTCCTCCTCTCCCTTCGTCCCTCCCCTTCCCTGTGTGCTGCTTTCCTCCCCCTCCGCCTCTTCTCCTCCACTTCTCTCCCTTTGCCTTTCCTGCCTCCCCACTCCATTTCTGTGTTGTACTAGTCCGTAAGACTTCCTCAGCTTATTCTTTCCATTTTTTTCATTACTTTTTTGATGATTCAATCGTAATAGTCTAGATTCCATATAAATAAGGCAAACAGAACACAGAGTAATGATTTATATGAAACTGTCCTAAAGAACTTTCAGAAGCATAGTGTTTTACAACAAGCGATTTGACTTTCTTCATAAAAATTCAAGAATACGCTCCTTCCATATCGCATACACAGAGAGTAAAGGCTAGTAGTAAAGGGTACTTGTCCACTAGGGAACACAAATATGTTGTCAGTATCATATGTGCAATTCGAGCATAATTTTGTCGGAAATATTTTTAGCTTTTGATCACTTGAAGGTTTATCTTTCCGGTCTAGGTTCAAGCACTGATGTACAAAGTGTCAAATCAGGAAAAGATACAGATAAATTGCCCACCTGTTTACTACCCAGCTCTCCTTCCTAGTGATCTGCCAGTATCAGAAAACATTTATTTAAGTAGCTTTATAGATTAAAAATAAATTTAAAGAGAAGTAACACCTTTCTTTTTCTTTAGACCTTAAGTGATGTAAGAAATCTCAAATTTCCACCCCTGTTTACTCAGAAATATCCTCGTGAGGTAAGTATAAGTCTCATCTTTGATTGCCCTCAGAATCACAGTTACAACCTACGTGGTCGCTAGCAGTCAACTTGTCAGTGTCCCATTTTGCGTGGAAGGAAATCAAAAGTCGAGGGAGCAATGGCACCTGCCCCCAGAGCACGAGCAACTGGTGCAAGTCAAAGGCTAGCCTTTAGGCCAGGCCTGGCTTCCTCAGCCCAAGCCGCACAGCCATGCTGCAAGACTCCTGTGTCTGAGTTACGGGCAGGGCTTGAAAGAGAGGCTCTTGAATGAGACAGAAGACCTGGAGCAGCACCAGCCTCGTGCACACTGAGTCGTGTTATAAAGTCCTGTACGAGTTTTGTTAGACATCTCTCTAGCATCAAGAACGCGGCGTGCTAACTTATTTGCTAGCTTAAGTACTAGCTTATTTGTTAAAAGAAAGAAAGAAAAGCATTGATTTCCCTTGCTTCTATTTATTAGAGTTATTCCGCTCAGAATGACACAGTAAGTGGTTCAGAAGAGTGGAAAGGAAAAAAAGGGTGCATTATGGAGAAGTGAACCCGAGCTTATGGTTATTTTTATCTCATAATATGTTTGATCCACAGACATATTTTAAAATTTATACATTTATTGATCATGAACTTTCTTTGAAGTGCACTAAGGTGAAGTGTCAGTTACCATACTGCAAAAAGGAAAAATTTACCTTTCAATATAATAAATATAATCAGGGATTGCATTAAACCTGAATTTTACAATGTGATATTTAGAAATACACTAACCTTAAATGAACTGAAGTTTTACTAAAAATCATCATGTTCTCATATCTTTTACAAAGCTGATGAATCGGTTGCCAAAGTGGCCCACAAAAGTACGTGCATGTTCTGTTGAAAGGAGCTGGGGGGGGGGGGGGGGTCTCCCTCCAGGGTGTCAGGGCCTAATCTGTGGCATGCTTATTTTTTAATGGAAATTTAAATGAGATCATTAGAGTTTCAGGCAGTCTTAAGATGAGGTTGTTTCAAAGATGTTAATCACATTCTTTTAGATGCCCCTTTAGGATGTGTTAGGAAAAAACCAATTACCTCCTAAAGCAGTGGTTCTCAACCTTCCTAATGCCACGGACCTTTAATATAGTTGCTGATGTTGTGGTGACCCGAACCATAAAGTTGTTTTCATTGCTACTTCATCACTGTAATTTTGTTACTGTTATGAATCGGGTGACCCCTGTGAAAGGGTCCTTCAACCCCAAAGGGGTCTAGACGCACAGGTTGAGAATCGCTGCTCCAAAGAGTCCCTGGTTATTTTGATCATGGGCCAAATGCAGCTGTGCTTATTGTGGTCCGTGAAGTTTGACTGGAGCACAGCTGTCTCCCTCATGTGCGTACTGCTCTGACCACCGATGGCATCGTCGTCGCAGAGTTGAGGAGTAGCTAAGAGACTCTGGATGGCTTGCCAAGCTTACAATAGTTACAGGAAAGCTTTAGGGGACAGTGTTGCCATGCAGCCCGAGCCCCTTTATCACCAGACAGCTCTTGTCTTGCAGTACGTGATGGTGCAGCACATGCTCTCTCCATCCCCCGTGGAGCGGCCTGAAGCCACAGACGTCATCGGAAATGCGGTGTTTGAAGACTTGGAACTTCCAGGAAAAACAGTGCTCAGACAGAGGTCTCGCTCCTTGAGCTCATCCGGAACAAAGCATTCAAGACAGCCGAGCACCTCCCAGAGCCCTTTGCCAAGCAATTCGCCTTAAAGTTGTGCTGGCAACCAAACAGGTGACAGAGCCGTCCAGTCCACCTCTCAGGAACGTGGCTGTCCGGCATTGAGGACTGCGCTCTCCGCTGGGTCTTATGTTGAGCTGCCTGTTCTCAGTCAAATGACCGGTGGGCTTGGAGGCACAGCCTGTTGGAGCCAGCGGTGGACTGGTTGTGGGTGCTGTCGTTACACTCCGGCAGAAGACTGTCCCCGAGCTTTTCACGTGTGGTCCTGTCTCTTCGTTGGTCTCTTGAGACTGGCTGGCCAAGCTCAGTAGCCCTCACCTCTGGCCTAGGGAGGTAGCCTCAGCCCCAAAAGTACGTGGCGACAATGAAAACAGAAATATTTTTATAGTACAAAGGAACAGCCGTACCCACGTGTGGTAACAATACTGTCCTAGAAACATGCTTTCTAGAGATAAGGGTGATGATTTGAAAAGGGAACTCTTATCTTGTCCCTGGTGGGTCAGTAGGGAATCCACACTGTTTTGGAGTACAAACAGCACAAATTGACGGGTTATGCCCATGGCTAGTTTTATAGTGATATTTGTAGCATTAATAGCTTTTATTCCTTAGGTGATTCTAGGGAGCGTTCCGGAACTTTTTGTACTTTTACATTCATTAAGAGGAAAATGAAGCTTTTTGTGTAAACTGGTCAAAAGTTCTGGTTTAGAGAGGGAAAAAAAAGTCGTAGTAAGAAATGAATCATATATTACATCTAACTTCTTCCTTCCACTTTTTTTTAAACTAATGAAATCTTAAGTGTCTTCTATGTAATCATCTAGGTTGGTACTTCCCCCAAACTAATTCTAGGTAACAGTTTAATCATCTAACCTGACTCACAACATTTTTATTTTTCCCTGTAAATATGTTTATTTTTTATTTATAAAAATCCTGGAATCAATCCATTTGGGTTGGTGGTGTACAGAACGCACTTGGCGTGTGTTAACTATTGTGACTTCTTTCAAGTCTAAATGATTTAATAAAACTTTTTTTTTAATTAACGTGCAGCTGGCTCTTGTTTTGTGCCCTCAACCCCACCCCCAAATGGGAGCACTTCCGAATCTGTACGACGGGATCACACGTCTAGGAAGGGTCGCAATCCTACCCTCCAAAAACTGTACCCCGCGCCTTATTCCAGGAAGGTGGCTTCTCTGGTATTTCCCAGAGCCAAGTCCTACTAAACAGTCACAGGACTACGGAGGGAGGGGAGAAGAAGAGCACATAACAAGGGCTCAAACAGAAAGTAAATGTTTAGAAAATGATGATGGCAGCATATGTATAAATATGCCTGATACAACTGATGTATGGAATGTTACAAGAGCTGTAAGAGGCCCCCAATAAAATGATCTTTAAAAAAAGTCACAGGACTGATAGATAACACAAGGGCATTTACTTGGTGCCTACTCTGTGCCAGCAAGTGGGAATAGAGAGAGGGCCCTGTACATATGGAGACCTCACAGAGAGCAGGGCTACGGCCACGCAAGCTGCGCTGGTCTCTCTGAAAGTCCCACCTGCCTTTGTACAGTGCTTCTGAGGTGGACTGAAGGGAGGCATGGAGCACTGGGCTGGCCAGGCACACAATGGCTAGGCACAACCCTCACCGAAATGTGGGATTCTTTCTTTTACAGACAACTAGGTTGATTTGAAGCAGTAGCCCTGGAGGCCTAGTGGTTACATGTTGGGCTGCTAACCGAAAGATCAGGAGTTTGAAACCACCAGCTGCTCCTCGGGAGAAAGATGAGACTTTCTATACCCGTGAAAGAGGTACAGCCTCAGAAATCCACACGGGCAGTTCCACCCTGGCCTATCAGTTTGCTGTAAGTCAGAATCGATTCGATGGCAGTGAGTTATGTCCATTTCACAAGTGCCCACCCGTGCTCTGAATCCAGACTCACACTGAGCAGTGGCCGACTGTCTTCCCAAGTCCTGCGTGGCACCTGCCCATCCATCCCTGGTCCCGTCATCTCTTGGACCACCTGCCTCAGTTGCCACCAACCCCAACTTCACACTCAGGCTATTGATCTCTTCCCAGTTTCCTCCCAGCTCCATCCCAGCTGAAGAGCTTATGACCCTGAAAGTTGTCCGTGGCCGGCGTTCCCATTTCTGTTCTACTTAGGATGATGGTAGCAGGGTTCAAAAAGGTGCCTGCCGTGATTTGTCGAGGATCACCAGAACGAGAAGCCAAGCCTCGGTTATCTCCACTTCCAGCAGGTGTTTCCCTTTCTCAGCTGCTAACCAAAAGGTCATCGGTTCAAACTTAAAACCACTCCTTGAGAGAAAGATGTGGCTGCCAGCTTCCATAAAGTTCCGTAGCACGATTCTACCCCACATATAGGGTCACTATGAATTCAAATCAATTCCAGGGCAGCAGTGGGTTTGGGTTTTTGGAGTTTACTCTCCCTTGGCCTCCAGGTAGCAGACATGAGCTACTAGCATGTTAGGGAGGGAAGTTCTGTTTCATATTATTTCTCAGTGACACATGGCATGCAAACGTTTGTAGCAAAGCCAATTTCTGGGTCACTTTTCTCCGGGGACCAACAACAGCTTCCCATCCAACCCAAACTCACTCAAAACGAAGGACTAAGAACTGACTCTGAGTATTTTCTGAGCCACCTGGAAGGACCTCCAGGAGCCCTGGGGGCATTATGGGATGAGCACTTGGCTACGAATCACAAGGCTAGTGTTCCAACTCACCAGACACTCCGCAGAAGGAAGATGAGACTGCCTGCCTCAGTAACGATGGACGGGAAGCCCTCTCTAGGGTCGTGACGAGTCAGAATCAACTCAATGGCAGCAGGTGTACCGGGAGGGTTGTTTCCTTTGTCTGCCCCCAACTCACGCCGCTCCCTTGACAACAGAAAGAAATCCTGCTTGTTGTGGATTTATTGTTCAAAGAAATCCATTTGTTGTGGATCAAAGTGATGTGATCCACAGGGTTCTATGGTCTAGTTTTCAAAACTAGATCATCAGGCCTTTCTTGCTAGTCCATCTTAGTCTGGAAGCTCTGCGGAACTTAGTAGGACACAACCTGCAACCCTCCGCTAACAGTCCGCGCGAGGTGGCTGCCTATAAACTACGTGGGCCAGGAATCATGACCTGGTGTGCCGTTGGAAGGCGAGCATTCTTCCACAGGCTGACATTTGCTTGTAGACGAGAGTGCTGGTAGTGTAGTGTGCTATGCATTAGGCCGCTAACTGCAAGGTCGGCAGTTTGAAACAACTAGCTGCTCTTGAGGGCAAGATGATTCCTTTGATTCCTATAAAGAGTTACAGTCTTGGAAACTCAAAGGGGTAGTTCGACTGTGCCCTATAGGGTGGCTATGACTCAGAACCTCAGAAGCCCAGAAGGGCAATTCTACCCTTCTGGGTTCGCCCTGAGTCAAAATCAACTTGGTAGCAGTGAGTTTTGAGTTTGAGTCCGTTGACTTCCCCTTGGACATTCAATCCCTGCAATGACAGTAGCTGCCACCAGGTGGCTTGTTTTGATATCCCTCCCACCCCACCCCCCAAAAAAACAAACTCACTTGTCCTGAAGTTGATGGCAACTCATAGGGACTCTGAAGCCTTAGGAGAAGGGTGGAGAACACAGAGGGAACCGCCCAGGCACACCCGGGAGGGAAGGGGTGAGAAAGGGCTTCAGTGGTGGGCATGAGGAGAAGTAGACCAATGTGAGCATTATTGTGGAGCCAGGAGCTAAGGGAACACAGATGAGAGATGCAGGCTACCTGCTGGGCTTCTGCTGAGGGAACTTCAATAGCAACCAGAAGAAGAAGGAAGAGGTGGTTCAGAGGAAATGGCCTTGGGCTCAAAGTTGGGACTTTATCCTGAAGGAAATAAAGGACACTTGCACATTTCTGAGCTGAGTGAGGTCAGCCCGTGAGGAGCGATTCTTTCAGGTCACAATGGCAGCTGGTGGAGAGAGATGACTGGGGGGTAAGCATCGGAGCCAGGGTGCCACGCCAGTCCTGAGGCCATGCCCTTTGTCCAGTCAGAGGTCAAAGGGCCTGAGTTGGGTCAGTGGGAGCCAAAAGATAGCCCTGATCCAGTCACTGAATGTGTGCTGACGCCCAGCAAAGAAGTGGGGGACCCTTTGTCACTGCCCTCCTGTTAGGCATTTTGAAATTTTTCTTCAGGGGGGTGCTGCCATGCGTGGGACCCTCTCTGAAAGAACCTGCTGCCTTCCCAAATGAGGTTAGCTTTTAGACAGCACCCAGAGGACACTGTCGAAAACCATGGTAGCCACTTTGAGATCACGCCTTCCTCTCTTACTAGCCGCAGGAATGTAAGCAGGATCTTGGTGGCACAGAGCTCAGGAGCCTGGGGGAAATGTCCACCAAGCCAGAAAGGTCACTATGGAGCCCAGAGGGAGTGAAGGGCTTGCTGGTGAAAGGAAATGAGGGCAAGGAATGTTCACGCTCCGGAGAGATTCCTGGAAGAATACTTTGGGGAATGGTTGACTAATTGAAGACGCATCCCTTCCAGGAGGAGTATCCAACCGCTAAAGCAAATGAATCCGCAAAGCAAGTACTCAACGGTTTCTGTAAAGCACAAAATGACAAATGCCCACTGTAGAGAAATATTATCAGTAGGACTGCAACCAAACAGAACAGCCTGTGCACACACATGCGTGCTTGTGTGTGTGTGTGTGTGTGTGTGTGTGTGCAAATGACATAATCTCATGATCATAGAGAAGCTGTGGAAGTTCCACACCAAGTGGTCCCCTGGGTATCTTCCGAGAGAAGAGTTGAGGAACAAGTTTACTTAGTAACTTCAATCAGCATCTCGGCATTGCTGGACTTCTTTCCATGGGTATAAAACTTTTACAATTGGTAAAAAAAGTAAAGGAATATGTTAATAAGCATTGTCAAGGGTTACAGTATTTTAATCAATATCCTATTAGTATCCTACTTAGGATCCAGGGCTTAGAAGGAGCCCTGACATAGTGGTTACATGTTGGGCTGCAATCCACAAGGTCAGCGGTTTGAAACCACCAGTCACTCCTCAGTGGGGAGATGGGACTTTCTGTTCCCATAAACAATGAAAGTCGTGAAAACCCACAGAGGCAGTGGGACCCCATCCTGCAGGGTCACTGTGAGTCAGTAGTGACTCACTGGCAGTGATTTTTAGTTTTATTTGTTTTATGGGTTAGAGGTTAACTGTGGCCTCATTTAATTTTACTTGGCTCTCTGCAGAACAGGTTTTTCCTTTGCTGTTTTACCTGTGGAAGCAGAACCCACAATCGCTAAAAAGAACTTCAAGGTAACACAATAGGGTGGTTGTAACAATCCACTTATCATTCCACCATCTTTTAGCATAACAATTCCTACCTCGGAATTCCCTGCAGTCCAGAGCCCATTATAAAGGAGTGCCTGGTGACCAGGGCAGGTTAAGACTTGTTTACAATTGTCCTTGCTCTCTCTCATCTGTGTCCTCAACTGCAAAGAGCACAGTATGAAGATCAGCAATAAACTGCTATTAGCATAAAAACCCAGACCAAACTTATTGCCATCCAGTCAATTCCAACTCTTGTGACCCTACCCTGTGGGTTTCCAAGACCAACTCTCTGTGGAAGTAGAAAGCCTGGGCTTGCTTTCTCCCTCGAAGCGCTGGTGCTTTCCAACTGCTGACCTTGCAGTTCGCAGCACAACGCCCAACCACTAGGCCACCAGGCTATGTGGTAAATAGTAAAAGCTCAATAAATGGAGGCTTAAACTAAAATGGCAGTTTCTGTTTCCAGTGTCTCAACTGGGCCTAATCACCAGCTGTTGAGTGTGAGTTAGGAGCAATGGCCGGGAGTTGAAGAGTCTCTTTGGGACGTGTACACGCCGCACATCTCCAATTACACACACAAGGAGGTCTGCCAAGGGCCCTTGGTTCTTGGCTTGTCAAAGAGTGCAAATGAGGGAAACCCGAGCAAACAAATAAAAAAAGGGGGATACAGCACCAGTCAGGGTGCGATGTAACAATGATGAGAAATACAACCTTCCTCTAGTTCCTA